ATGTATTACACGGACAGGGCCATTTTATTTACACACAAAGCATTCTGGGTAAATGATGACATGGATCTTGGTACGAGGCTGCGAGCGAGCTATATCCACCCTGAAAGTTAATCTTGGACAATATCTGACGATTGGCTCTTTTAAATGAAACCAGAGAGCGTTGACAGAGAGGAGAAGGTAGAAATGACTCAGCCTGTAACTGAAAATATGGATGAAAGACTTCAGTTTAGTTTGTTAGTTTGTCGCGCTATGGCCAAGCTAATACATACAAGGCAATATAGCGTCGGCGCTAACGCAAAGGCTAACAGGCTAAGCTGAGGTTCTTCTTTCATGAAGAAGCTCTGTAGTCCTCCATCCATATTTTCAGTTGTAGACTGAATTGTTTCTACCTTCTCTCTGTCAACGCTCTCTGGTTTCATCTAAAAGAGCCAATCGTCAGATATTGTCCGAGATTAAACTTCAGGGTGGATATAGCTCGCTCACACCGAGGACCTATCCACGTCATCATTTATCCAGAATGCTTTGTGTGTAAATAAAATGGCTCCGTGTTAAAATATATTTTTAAAAATTTACAAAACTGAACAGCCTACAGTATTTTTACAGCCTTTATTTTACAGTTAAAATATGTTTATTAAATAAAGTCTAAAGTTACAACTAATCGTGGATCCCTTTAAATCACATTTTTTGAGGAAAATGTCCATGAGTGCCTTTGTATTTGCTTCTTTAGATTAATGAAATACATTCTATTGTTTGCAAATGGGAAGTAGTATAAGGATTGCAAACATTTGTTGATGCTATGAAAACTTTAGACCACGACTTGTGGAGCAGAAATATACAATCAGTGAGTTCATCCCCACAGCCCGAGGTGGTGATGAGAATCACACTTTCTTACATTACTGTATAGTTAAATAAAACCTGAAGAAATTTAATGTAAACATGATAAAAATCACTCAAATATATAAATAAAATAATACCTAATATGAGTTTTAATTTAACTCATTTCTCCTGTTTTCTTCAGTCTTACTCGACGTTGAGGGGCAGCGTAGTAAATGGCGCTGGGACTCTGCCAGCACCTCCAAACACCCGAGCCCCGGGTCGTGTTTTGTCTGATTCAACGGACATTCCTCCTCGAGTTCCGCCTCGACGGGAGAGCATCAGCCCCCGACCCATCAGCCAGAACAGACCCGTCGTCCGGGTCAGCACCGCCCTTCACACGCAGAGACCTGCGGCGGTGCAGCAGATCCCCCGCGAGCTCGCTACGACCTCCAGACGAAGAGAAAAAAGCATGAAAGGCAAACGGGCTCACAAGAGAGCACACAGTGCAGGTCAGTGACCTTTTGGGGGTTTTAAAGCTTTAGAACGGAGCAAACCCACCACCATGATCTGCCTCACCTGATGTTCACCTGTTTAACACTCAAACAGGATGTCAAACGCTCTTCTGTCTTTTCTCCTCCAGCAAATATAGACGTGAGTCAGGTGGTGCCGATCCGAGTGGCAGGGAAGGAAGGAGGCAGTCTGAAAACCATGAGGAACAACAGTCCTCAAAGGAGCTTAAATCCAGGTGTGAATTTAACAACTTTGACTCTTAAAACATCATCTATACAAATAATAAAGGCAGAGCTCCAAGATGAGACTTTTCTTTCACTAAAACACTTAATTCTTCTAAACACAGTTGGTGTTTTCACCCAATTATTTACTAAATCTGAAGTTTGGCTTCAAAGTTGTACTAACTGGTTCATTTGTGAAAAAACAAGACTGGATGGTCTTTGCCTGGGGAAAAAAGATTTTAAAAAATCAATGGTCAGATTGTTATGTCAGTCTTGTACTTATGGTTAAATTAGTGACGTTTATTTGATCCAGAGGTGTGTTGTAACTAAATGCATTTCCTTCAATATTTTTTAAGGATCTGTAAATTAAGTATTTTTTAAATTTACTTTTATTTAGTTGCATTTAAAAAAAAAACAAAAAAATATACTTTTCCTTTTTTTATTCTAAAATGTAACATCTTATTACTCTCTAAAAATTTCAATTTGGCCGGAACTCATTATGAAAGGACTGGTTCCAATAAACCGAGACAAGCTTGTGGAGCAATTTACAGTTTTGTTTTGTGTGGCCTTTTTTTTTTAAAGAAAATGTGTAAATTACTTTACATTTACTCGAGTCAGCTTAGTGGAAGCAGGTGACGTACAGTAGCTTCAATAAGTTCAACACTTCATTTTTTTAGAATGAGTGTAAACGTATTTTCCTGATTATTGTGAGCAGTTTTATATTTTTTACTTTTTTATCAGTGAAATTCATTTAAACCAAAGTCGTTTTCTGTCCAGGTATTTTTATTTTTACTTTTACTTATTTTTTTACGTACTTTATACACCCCGGCTACATTCACTAGGGGAATGCTAAGCTAAGGGTTTTTATTGGTTCTTTTTGAAACCTCTCAGTAGCTTCACTTGTATCTCATGTTTGAGCCTGAACACTGAATCTGTTAAAGGCTGAAGTGAAGAGTTTTAATTAAAACAGTTAATTCTAGCACCGCCTCCTGCTGCTCATTTTGGTTCAAACTGCACCATTAATAAATTAGAGAAGTTGAACCCGTTGAGAACCACCAGTTTAGCTCATTAATTCCTCAACAGCTACCCTTGTTTGAAGACTGTTTGACTTTATTAAAGTGAATGAGGGAATCTGTAAAGAATCAGCAAACGTCACTTATTTTCTAACAATAACTAAAACTGAACATTAAAACCATGATAAAAGTTAAACTGTAGAAAATGTTGGTTTAATTTTAGCCTCCGTAGCAGAGGTGTTGTGTCCCGAGTGCTGCGGGGATTAAACGGTTTCTCTCCTCTTCAGATACCTTCAGGCCTCCAGCACCCGCTCCGAACGTCAAACCGTCTCCATTCAACACAAACAGAAGAGACGGCAGCGAAGAGCCTCCTCCTCTGCCTCCTCCTTTCCCAAAAGACATCAAAAAAAATGAAGATAAGTTAGTAATCGTTTGACGTTGAGATTTAAAGACGGTGTCAGGATGGACTCGCGCAGTCACACGACTCCGCGCTGATTTGTTTCTGGTATTAAAGACTCCAGTTGTGACAGCGACGCATTTTAAATGAAGAAAACCTGTCTGAAATCAAATTAGCTAAAGATTAAAAAAAGAAAAAAAGTTTATTCAAGAGGTGCACATTCATGGTAAAGAATGTAAAAAATATTTAAATAGACGAGGCCCATTTATTTTGAAAATGTTTATATTTTAAATGAAGCTTTTTAAAGCCAAAGACGTTTTTTTTATATTTGTATTATTATTTTTTTATTATTATTTTAAACTTTAAAAGGTTTTCCGTCATCGTTTAGCGCTCACGTCTTAGGCTTTCTCTTTAATTTAATGACATGTGTGCAGTTTAGGTTTAACAAGTTTACAGCTTTGTAAATACTTAGATTTCTGCTGTGGGTTTGGTCCTCAGTGTGTGTCCGGTAATCAGCGGGGTGTGTTGAGGAAATCGGCCTGAATTCTTAATAAAACTGACAGGTGCATGAAAACAGTTTGTACTTCCTGACTGCAGACGGACCGGCAGCATTAACAGGATTGTTTCACTTTATTTGATGTTGGTCCAAGAACAGATCATGATTTCTGATTAAAACACAACAATGTAAAATATTCAACAAAATTCATTTTACTTGTCATGAGATTAAAAGATTCTTTTTTTCCAGAGCCTTGGATTATCTATGATGGTTTTTACCTAAAAATAATTCATCCTCATCTTGATAACAATATTTCAAATCAGAAATCGAATCACTTTGGTCCCAACTTAGATTGACTGATGTAGAATTTAATAATATTTATTTAGCTTTTTAAAAGTTTAAAACATTTGAAGACGTTTTTCCCCAAAACACCAGAGTCCCGTTTCAGGAAGCAGGATAAGTGGAAATCCTGAGTAAGTTCTGGGGTAACTATGTGCAGATCCTGGGTTTTGGGTTTCAGATAGCAAGATAGCAGTTATCCTGAGTTAACTTAACCCCGCAACTTCTCTGTGAACCAACCCTGCTCTGTAGCAGGATTACTGAACAAATCCTGACTTTGTCTCGCTTTGTAGCTGAGAGCTGCATGAGGTCAGAGTCAGACAGGAAGTGTCCTTTTCTAAAGGAGCTTGTAGATGTTGGAGCTAATACTCTGCAGTAATTTATGTCAGTAGGGAGTGATAACACCTCGATTAGACGTCTTTCTGGATGAATATCTGTTCGAGCATTTTTAGATGTTTTTAATCGCTCAGCTTGTAGCTGTTTCACAGCAAGCTTTAGTGACAGAAAAGTGACCAAACTTCTTTTACATTTCTGCTCTCACATGAAGTTATGATCAAAGGTTTAAATTCTGACAGAAGTGTATATTTTTATTTTATTGTATATAGAATTTATTCAGTTTTTTAAATGAAATAAACTGCTGGGGGAAAAAATGACAGAAGAAAGTTGAGCTTCAGAGGAGCTGGAGCCTCTTTGGCTGATCGTCCCGTCAGAATTAACAATCATTCTGATTCACAATGAAAAGTAAAATAAACGTATTAAATATTGGCTGAGAGAAAATAATACACATTATTTTTCAGGGGGACACAATAATTGTGTGTGTTGAAGCAGTGAGTTATGTAATTTATTTGTTAAAGGTTGAACATAAATGCTTATACCTGGTCCTTACCTGATTTTACTACGTATTCATATTTAATCTTTATTTGCTGCCATGTCTGTTTAGTACCGGCTGGGTTCAAACACACACACACACACACACACACACACACACACACACACACACACACACACACACACACACACAC